GGAAAAAGCCTGTAAGTTGGAGCTAGCTTTAGCTCTAATGGTGTTCTGGACAGGTTCTTTTTAGAATGGGTGGATGGAGAAGGTATGTGTATATATGGTCAAAAACTGTATGGTGTTCTTTGGTCACAAAGCAACTGGGTATTAAAGAAGTTTGGAGGTAGGAAGTTCAAAGTTTGTGAAAATACCAGGGATTTTTGGACAGAGATTCACAAGGTTTTTCTTTTACTAGAGTTTTCTGTTTCTTCTCTAGCAATTTTTTCTGGATGTTTTTTCACGTCCCCTTTGTGATGGACAATGGTGTCCTATTTATAGGCAAGGCTTTATGGATTTTTGAACGTTAAATGGCGCCCATACTATGCAGGAGAGGTTAACTTGTTTTTGAAGGAAGTTCATGAAAAGTTGTGATGATGGATAACTTTTCAGCCTAGGCTGGAACAGTAAGCAAGGATTGAGGAGAAGTGACACCTATAGATGAAAAGTGGCGCATAGACCCATGCCTAAACTTGCACAAAGGTGTTCAACAAGCCACACGTGGAGAGACTCCTTGGATGAATGCTCAGGAGTGGTTGTGAGCATTAATGAGCATTAAATGGTGATGAGATTTATCAACATCAAAAATCTTGTAATAGGATATTTTGCATCATTACCTACAACCTGAGCCAGCAGTTCTGCTTCACCAAAAACAACGTAAACCAAGTTCTGACCTTGGCCTCTGGCTGTCTCAGCAAGTTCTGAGAGTTTTCCAGTATACTTCTTTGATCTGCCTTTAAAGACTCTGGACTTAGTGATCCTGCTTTAGTATTTTACCCAATCTGCTGATCCCATTACCTTCTGATCCCATTACGTTCTGAAGGAGTTTCAGGTTTTGTTGCCTTCTTTACATTTCTCCAACAAACTCTGGTTGAACTTTGCGTAACTGTTGAAATAGCCATGTTCTGACTGAATGTTATGTGCTGAACCAAGTTTGCAACTTCTGACCGTTTCTGCCTGGAGGTTGGTTCAGAAGTTCTGAAGTGCCATCTTCTTCTTAAACCCCCTTTTTTTAAGAGAAAATTCTAAGTATTTAGAATTTAACTTTTCCAAGGCAAAAGTTTTGCCTTTTAAGCTTGCACACGAATATTTTGTTCTTGTAAATTGTTTACTTGGAAAGGAATGGTAATAAAGGGCTTGGCTCTGTTTTAAGAGAAAATCTGAGAATTTAGGATGGATTCCTGAAGGATGAGAGGGCAAATTTTGGAGTACAACACCAATGTATGAGTTTGCTTTAAAGGAGGCGGGGATGCGCCTGCCTTTTAATGATTTCCAGGTCGGGGTTTTCCAATGGCTCCAGCTAGCACCTTCTCAACTTCATCCAAACGCGTTGGCGTTCATGCGGGTGTTCGAGCTCGTCTTCCAATATCTGGGGATAAGCGCCACGCTGCCCCTCTTCTTCCTCATCTTTCACTTGCAGAGACAATCTGTCCATGGGAGACAGGCGTGGGTCTCTTTTAAGCAGTTCGGGAAACTCTTCCGACCTTATCTGGAGTCCGTGCGAAATTTCAAGGAGAGGTACTTCGTCGTGAAACCCTTGACGGATGCGGCCATAGATTCTCTTTATGCCCGGGTGGAAGAGGTGGAGAATGGGCGGCCAGTTACCCGACTTATGGCGCGTTTCCCGCTTGAATGGTAGTAGAGACATTACGAGCAGAGGCCCCGATACTATACGGTGAGACCCGAGGATTTGGATGCCCAGGATCAACTTTCGTACGAGAAGCTATCTGCGTATGTTAAAGGGTTCTCCCCCGCGAAATGCGTGGATGTGAATGGCGCCCTATTGTTTGACGAGGAGGGGGAGTATTTCTTGGTCAATAGGTTGATCAACACTAAGGCCTTGCTCGAGTGCTCCTCCGATGGGGAAGCCATAAGGCTCTTGGGTAAGGCGTATCTGTTTATTTGCTTCTTTTATAAGCGGGGACGTGTCCACTTTATTTTTTATTTTTCTAACTCAACGATCCTCTTTGATTTACAGGTCGAATGGCGTCTCTTTCCGAGCGTTTGCTAAAACTGAGGCCAAAGAATGCATCCACTTCTGGACCCCGAAGCAGGGTTGCCCAGCTCCAGGAGCAGGCTAAGTCTACCGGTCGGGGTAGTGGTTCCCCCTCCTCCTCAAAAATTCCCGCTTCCACTGATCCGACCCAGATTTCGGTCAACGAACCCGTGGCCAAGAGGAAGCGTGCGGATAGCACTGCGGGTGTGCAATCTGAGGGTGATAAAACATCCGCAGGTTTTTTTGTGTTGCCTCCGTGTTATCTAAACCGCGACCTCTTCCGCGACGGGGACTCCCTCGATCTGCATGAGGAAGAGAGAGAGGCTATTTTGGCTGAAGACGAGCTTCGCCAGTAGCGCTTGGCCGAGGACGTGGCCGTTGTGATGAGGGTGCTCAAGACGGCCCTGTCACTTAACGATGATTCTTCGAGTACTCAATCTGCTCTCGACGTGGCCGCTTTTGTCTTTTTAAACCGAGAGGAGACGAGGAAGCTTAGTTTCCCACAGACGGCGCCACTGATCGTACCTGATCAGAGTCGGACCATAACAACTGGCTTTGAATTGGATTTGAAGGAGATGAGGGGGTACCTGCAAGACACTCTGATGGCAAAGTGAGAGACGGAATGAGCAAGCAAGTAAGTATGTAGGTGTGAATGAATGAATACCTGACCCTCTCACGAGAGAGGGTATTTATAGCCCCCAGCGTTGGGCCAATGTCCCCACTATTGGGCCACGCAGAGGCCCAACAACGGGAACTGCCAGGGTTTACGTGAGTATGGAGTCCAACAAGTGGACTCCCCCTGGTCAACCGCTCTGCGAGAATAGGGTTGGACCCGAAATTTCCGGTGGGCACTTTGATGTGTTCGTTGAAAAGTGGTGGGCCACGCCCCCCAACAGTTAGATGGGGAGATGCCCCACAATCTCTGACTTGGGCCGTTTGGGCCTTCTTTTCGTAGGGAAAACGTAGGCCCAGTCCAGATCAAAAGGATTTAAAAAAAAAATATTTTCATGTTAATAAATTGATCGTATGAGTTATTTATTTATTTTTCTTGGATTTAGACATGATTATTATTTGTTAAAAATATTTGGATCTAGATGTCTATATTATAGTTTTTAATGGGATTCTAATACCATGTTAAATATGTTTGGATCAATGTCTATATTGTAGTCTTTAATCCAACTCAAATACCATGTTTAATATATTTGGATCAATATCTACATTGCAGTCATTAACTTGACTCTGATACTATATTAAATATATTTAAATATCAATTCTAAAAATTAGCTTAAAAGATAAAATTATCTTCACATATTTATATAACTAACCATCCGAGAATCTAAACAATATAAAATTTCAAACAAATTCCAACAAATCAAGTATCATCTTTAATAATTTAGTTCAGCTTGAGATGGAGCATAAGAGTTATTATAATAAGAGTTATACTATAATAATATATTACTAAGATTTAGTATTAGATATATGAGTTTGACCCATTTTCCTTTCTTAGCTATTTCTCTTTTAACCTATTAATATAAATTTGGGCCACTTGCATATTATACTGCACGCATTTGATTGATTATTCATATTTTTTTCTATCTTCATACACTTTTTACTATTCTATCTTACAAAAAAATGTCCTTAGTAGAGTCATTCCTAACCTAGTGGATTATGGGAAGCTTGCTTTAGATTAAATGTCCAAGAAAATCTATATATAGTTCCATTACAAATCATATAATCAGAATATATGATGATGTTTTGTAAAGTGACAACTACTAATATATGATGAAATTGAATCTTCTACGGGTGGAATTTCGACGTATTCACGCAGTCAAGTCTTTATCAATCGTTTGATTTTGATCGCACGACTTAGAAAAAATAGATTTGACTTATTTAAAATATCAATTTTTAATCAGAACTGTCTGATTAAGATCAAACAATCAAATATGATTGGAGTTTCGACGCATTCACGCAGTCAAGTCTTTATCAATCGTTTGATTTTGATCGCACGGTTTAGAAAAAATAGATTTAACTTTTTTAAAATATCAATTTTTAATCAGAATCGTCTGATTAAGATCAAATAATCAAATATGGTTGAATGTGTGAATACATGTTAATTTGAATGTAGGGAATCAACATCCATATATGATGATGTTTTGTAAAGGTACAACAGGTTCTCAAACAATTATTCAAAGGTTGCTCAGATATCAGGTCACTTATGAACCCTAAAAAATTAACCAATTTCTTCGATTCTACACCACACAATAGACTTAGCCAAATTCCTTAATTAATTGGATTCAAAGGTAGGGAAAAAGCTAGTTACTATCAACCTTTAGCAGACAAAGCCAAGGAAAACAATTCTTCAAAACTTCTTTACTTTTCTATTGCAAGAAAAGTCCTACCGGTGAAAAGTGTGAGTCAAGCAATGCTAATCCACTGTATTACCATATCATCTTTGCCTATTAGTCTCATAAAAAATCAATAATCATTGGATGCTAAACTCTATTTGGAGGTTTGATCTTAACTAAATGAAATTGATGTTTGTCTCTTGGAATAAGGTTTGTTTGCCTCTAGCTAAAGGAGGTTTGGGCCTAAGTCTTCATCGTAGTAGGTGTTTGCTTTCAATGCATATAAGTATAGTGCTCTGATTTCATATAATTCACCCTAACTATCTGTCATTAGTAAACAACATGAATTTCAGACTATGCTAAAAACTTAAGCTGCTGGTGAAGACACATGAATGTCTATTATATATCTCACAATAAAATTTAATTTCAAAGCAATTGGAGACTGAAACTGAAAAGAAGTTCTGTCAACAGTGTATATCAGCATCTATAGGTATTGATCTATAAACAAATATTCTTGAAGATTAAATATGTTACACTTGAACAAAAAGTACCATTTCCAGCTCCGTAGTGAGGGTTTGGTATATCAATGTTACAATATTGAAGTATCATGAAAAGCATAGTTCATACATTTATGATATCACAAAGACCCTTAGCTCGCCTCTATCTCCTCTCGTGACGCGAGTATCCGCGTCAAGATATGTAACTTCAAAATCACCACTTCCTCTATTAGATTTTGGCCTTAATGCTTCTGGAAGTTGAGGTACCTCTAGTGGCGGTAACTGTGAAAAATTCCCAGTTGTTTTCACCGTGGTTTTCTCAAATATTATCTTGATCTTTGAAGATCCTGAATCATCACAAACCACAGACAATTAAGAGACAGTCTCGATACTGCAATTCTGATATCTGGGAAATAGAAAAAATCATGCAAAAGCTACTAGCTTATGAAGTAGAAAGCATAAAACCAACCTATGAGTTCAAATTTGTGCGCTAATGTGGCGGTTGCTTCGAGAGGTGGAAGAGGCCATGGAGCACCGAACTGAAGCTCCACTATATTGTCAAAGTCTTTGCTCAAGATGTCAATTCGTTGAAAAACCTAACAGCAAAGAAAGAACAGAAACTCATCAATTAGCACATGCATGGGACTGAAATCAGATTACAACTACCGGTCGAATAAAAAACCGTTAAGAGCAACAAACACAAATATTACAACATCATTATACGATGTGAGGTTAGTAGTAGCAGACCTGTCCAAGAGTTATAGGAAGGAGCCTTCCTATGGGAGGTCCAGGACGGCTACCACCTAGAGTACGAGAGGAGAACGCACTGCTATATATCAGTTTCCATCTTCCTTGCAATTTATCAAGGTTATCTGTGAGGTCTACTAACCCTCCAGCATCTTCTAGTTCCTTAGCCGCAGCATCCGCCTTTTGCAGGTCTTCTTCATTTGCTGCAAGACCTTTATTTAGCCCAGAAACCGCACTCTGCAACATTAACAAATCAAGCATTATTTTAAAACCACCATTCCAAAATCCATAAAACTTAGACAAATCAAACATTTTTTTTAACAACTGTTTCTAACAGATTTGAACTCTGTCCCTTGAAGTTACAAGGTGAAAGTCTTACCTCTGAAGTGACAACTCATAGACAAATCAAACATGAGAAACATTTTTCGGAAATAAAACCTCCATTCCAAAATCCATAGAACTTAGACTAGAGATGTCTTAAGAAATGTGGTTGGGCCTAATTCACCCTTACAAGGGTTTGTAGGGTGAAGAAGAATTGCCTCCGCTTATAAACGCATGTTCAAATCATATATTATCTAATATGAAACTCTTAACACACCCTCATGCCCCGGACCAAACATCTGGAGCATAAGGATCTGATAGCGAAAACCTGATAGCATGTGGCCCACTTGATCTTAAACGAGACTTTAGCTACCCTATTAAGAAATGTGATTGAACCTAAGTCGTCCCTAGAAATCCCTAAAAAACCAACTTGTAGGTTGAGAATTGTCCCCACTTATAAGCACATGTCCAGACCATATATGGTCTAAAGTAAGACTCTTAACAAATATTATTAGAGTTTGACATAATTCATCCCTACAAAATCGACTCTAAAGTGAGGAGTGTCACTCTATATAAACGACCCTTATTAGCTCCGTCTTTAACTAGTGAATGAGTTGAGTTTCTCCCAATATTTACTAAGACTAAAACTATCATAAATCTAATATAATGATCACAAATGATTGCCCTTAAATCATTAGATTTTTCAAACATATGTTATGACCAAGAAAAAAATTGCATACATAAATTGAACATGTAACCTAACTTACTATTTTTCTTTTGCAAACGTAGTAACCTTGAAATTATTTTCCCTGTTAACACTATGCAATAATTGATAATTAATCATATATTCATGATGGTGATAATAGTAATAGCTAAACAAGAAATTGAGCACACATTCAACACCCAAAAAGGATATAAAAATGAAGATCTCAAGAAAAGAAGCTGACCAGAAGATTGAGCTTCAAGGAGGGGATGGCATCAAACGGATTAGAAGGAATTGGAATAGTTCCATCGGTAAAAGGGTCACCTGCAACAGCTTTAACAATAAGCGATTGTTTGACATGATTGCCACCCTTTGGAGTGAGATAGTTGTTGCGAGGAATAAAACTCCTGGCAAATAAAGAGCAAGAAGAAGAAGAGGATACAGAAGTTGAAGGGAGGTGAAGAAGATTGAGAGAAGCCATGAAATTGTGGAAGAGATTGTTGAGAAAAAAGAGATTTGTGTTGGCTTATATGTGTGAAAGAGAAAGAGAAAAGGACAAGACAAGAAAGAATGAAGTGTTGAGTTGATTCACACCGTTTGGTAATGAGACACGTAATGCTCTATGCGCCTTTAAACTATCTCCAACAAGGATATTGGTCTTCATGTTTAGTCAACCTTGATCGACATGCTTTGCATACTTTTTCTTTTTATACTCCCTTAGTCTCATAAAAAATTGTCTTATTTAAGCAATTTACGATTTTAAAAAAAGTAATTTAGATGTGTTAATTTTGATGATAAGATAATTTAGATGTGTTAATTTTGATGATAAGATATTTTTATTAATTGTAATTAATAGTATAGTTGAATAATATGAAAGTTAATTTATAGGAATATAGTAGTAGAAAATAATAATAAATACTGTATCGGTATTATAAAAAAAATAATTATTTTGAGATAAAGAAAAAATATAAATGAGACACTTTTTATGAGATGGAGGAATAATTATTATTACATATTTCGCTTAAGATTTTATTTAGTTTAATATTGTTAAATAATATGTTAGGATTGATTAGCATTGATTATAATTGATTAATATTGAAAGTGTATTTTGATATCAAAAGTTAATGGTTTTACGATGTCTTCTTTTTTGTCCTTATAACATTGTCCTTCACAATACACATGACTATATTGCATGTCTCATCTCTTTGCCACCACGCATTCGATCAACAGTGTGTTGCCACCACTAGGTTCGCAATCCTCCTGCGAACTCATCGACGCAAAGCTTGCCCCCAGTCAACGCGTCATGCGCGACCACCATCACGACGCATAAGCCATGTGTGCTGCATCATATCAGTTTTTCAGAGTGTTCTCACCTTGTTTTGCCATTTTCCCCGGCCATTATTCTCATCCCCCACTAAGCGATCATGTTTTCACGTTCTTCAACCATCAACTCTCATCAGAGATCACTCCACAACCGATTCTGTCAATTTTACCAAAGATGTTACTATTTCGGTCGTTAATTACAATGAGTTCCTTTAGTTCAAAGCAACCCATCAACCATCATTTTCTGCCACCGTTGCTCAATCTGGTAATCTTCTAGTCGTAGTCTCTACATCCCCATCCTTTGGTCTGTGGGTACTCGACTCTGGTGCCTCTAATTATATGACTGGTAATAAATCTCTTTTGTCTCAATTGTCTTATTATGATTCTTTGCCTTTTGTCACTATGGCAGATGACTCCAAAGTCAAAGTTCAAGGCCTTGGTTAAACACACCTACTTTCAAACTTGACTTTAGATTATGTACTCTATATTCTTGGTTGCCCTTTCAATCTAATATATGTTAACAAGCTCACTCGTACCACCCATGGCACGTGCTTCTATCGCGTCTCAAAACCTTACACATCAACGTTTGGGTCACTGTATCCTTAATAAAACACGTCTTTTAGTTCCTAGTTTTTCTATACTTTCGTCATTTGAGTGTCAATCGTGTTAGTTAGGCAAACATACCCGACACACCTATTGTCAACGAGTAAATAAAATTGATGTGTCACCTTTTGTTTTAATTCATTATGATATTTGGGGTCATACTCGTGTCAAGTCAATTTTAGGTTATTATTACTTCATAACTTTCATGGATTATTTTTCATGATGTACTTTGTTATTTTTAATAAAAAATTATTCAGTTGTTTTTCATGTATTTCCAGAATTTTATGCTGAAATTAAAAACCAGTTTGACACTTCCGTTAAAATTTTACGTACTAATAATGCTCGTAAATATTTGTCGTCTCAATTTCGATCTTTTTTGACGTCACATGGGATTATTCATTAATCATCACGATCTCACGCACCAAACAAAACAATGTTGTTGAACGGAAGAATTGTCATTTAGTTGAAACCACACATACCTTTTTACTTCAAAACAATGTCTCTTCTCGTTTTTGGTGTGATACTCTTCTCACAGCTTGTCACCTTATCAACTGAATTTCTTCCTCCGTCCTTCAAGATCAAATTCCATAATCCTTCCTAAATCTACAATATGATCTCTACTCCATTCCTCTTTGTGTATTTGGTTGCACATGCTTTGTCCATGACTTAAGTCCAGGTAAAGACAAATTTTCTGCCAAATTTCTCACATGTATTTTTCTAGGCTGATCACGTATACAAAAAGGATATTGTTGTCTTTGTCCCTAACTTTAACGATATATTATTTCCTCGGATGTCGCATTCTTTGAAACTTTCCCATTTTTATATGTGTTTGTGTCATTTGAAGATAACTATACTTAGATGTATGAGAGATCCCTTTTATACCTCTAAACAAAACTTTCCCATTTTTATTGACCTTTAGACAAAACTACACCTAGAAATTCTAAACTTGTTTTCCGGTTTCGTCGTTCTCTTTAAGGGTTAAAATATACTTCATGTGGTTGGTTTGGTCCCTTCAGCTCTTCCTTGATATAATTTGGTATGACTAGATGTAAAGAGAATCACTCTATTTTCTTCCTTGATTCCTTCATCGGTCGATATATCTTTCTTGTGGTCTACGTTAATTACATTTTTATCATTGGAGATGACCAAATGGTATCCTGCAACTCAAAACTCATGTTTTAAAAAAAATCATACAAAAGACTTAAGTCCACTCAAATACTTCTTAGGCATTGAAGTTGCTCAGTCTTCATCAGACATTGCAATCAACAAACACAAGTATGCATTAAACATCCTAAGTGAACCATGTGTTGTACCCCAAAATTTCCCCCCTTATTTGTAAATAAAGTAGCTTATGTTTTGTCATCATCAGGTTCATCATTTACATTGCATTTACTCGGTAACATGGGATTAAGGGTTTTAGCTAGACGAGTGAACACTGCCCAAGACAAGAAGATCTATCTTCAAAGGTCAAGCATCTAAAGTCTCTCCATCATAAACATTATCTCAAGTCGTAAGGTATGTGAGTTCAAGAGTTCTTCAAGATATTCCAGTTGGATTAAGGTTTGGAGTTATGGTCAACGTCTCCTATATTTGTAACGCAATTAGTATTCTTGATCGATGACATGATTTAACTGATTTTCAAGATTAAGATGGTTTCATGGTTTTCCATCTGCATTAAAAGTATTTGCGTGTGGTCTACTGATCTCCATATTTTTATCAGAAAGACCGGGGTCGATCGAATAAGAAGAGATTTAAGTGTGTATGAGCAAAAAGTCAACAAAAGTCAAAGGATGACTAAATGAGATTTTTGGTCAAGATTATCGATGAAAGTCAAAATATGAGGAAATTTGATAAGCCGTTGAGAAAAAATCGAAAGAATCAGCCGAATTTGAAGTTTCTTGTATTTTTAGTAATATGAGCACTTAGTAATTTTCAAAAGATTTTCCAAAACGGGGCAAACTTCATGGCTACTTTTAGGGTTCCGTTTATACTCAATTGAAAAATCTACGAACATAAAAGTTGAAGATCAGAGTCTCCTCTCTGATTTTGATTCAAGAATCTTCCCATTTGGTGGCTCGTAGAGAAAGTTATGATGTTTACTTTTGAGGGCTTGAGAGGCAAAATGCTGCCAAGACTTGTCTTGTCAGGCCGGCATTTTATCGAACAGGTGGCGTGCACACGTTTTGGATGTTTTTTCTCATGAATTTAATTCTCATTTTGAAAAATGTTGAACATGAAAGTTGGAGTGTGTTGCGTACTCTTCGGTTTTGGTTTAAATTTCGTTTTGTTTTATGCATCGTGGAGAAAGATATCGAGGCGCAAAGTAGAAAGGTTAAAGTGGGAAAATGCATGGTGTCATACGTAGGACTTGCCCAGCCAAGCTTGTAATTTCGTCAAGCAGCTGCAAGGCGTGTGTTCACGACATTTTTTTCTCTATGATCGAGGTCGTATTCTGAGTGGGGACGAACTATGAACTTGTTCTATCATTCGTCCTCTTTCCAATGGTATCAAGTTTGCGGAATTTGGGTCGTTATTGGAAAAGTTACAAGGTTTTGGAATCATGATAATGGAGTTGATTTCTGCATGGTGAATTTTTAGCCACTGCAGCCAGTTTTGATATCACTACTTCGCGATCATTTTTGAGTACGTTTTGAGTGTTATTTCAAGAAAGTTGCAACATGAAAGTTGTTTAGAGAAATTCCCTCTCCGACTTTGATGTTGAGATCTCATCCTGAAGAATTCCATATTTCAAGTTATTAAGCCATAGAGTGGAGGACAAAATGTTGATGGATAATTGTCGGTACTAGCAGAATTACCGATATTTATTTTAGTTGTGATTTCATGACTTTAGGGCCATTTTAAGGCATGCTACAAGCGTTCTTTTGGCTCGAGGCCAACATAAAAAATACTCCTTGATGTGTCTTCTTTTCAGTAATGCTAAGATGGTGTCGTGATTCAAGATATACGATCAAAAAGGCGACCACGTGGCCATGAAGGTTGGGATTTCAAAAGAAGCAAAGTCTCCGTTCACAACATACCTAGAACAATACTTCTGATCTTCCTTAGACCTAGAAGAAGGTTGGCCATAAGAGTAAGACATTTCTGCCTGTGAAATCAAAATGAAATTTAGGATTTTCGTGGATGATAAACAAAAGGCACAAGCTCGAAACTTGGTATTACTTGGAAATGAATGAACGTTGTTTGTATCCTTGTTGCTTCTCCGTTCTTCCCCGTTGCTTCTCCGTTCTTCCTCATCATTTGTATTCTGGGAGATGAATGAATGAACACGTTATTTGTTTTCACTTTGTTTATGTTTAATTGATTTATTTATCAAATTATTTTATAACTTGAAAATCAGATATGGAATATAATTAAACACATAAGCGTATTTTAAACACATGAAAATAGGGGGACTAAAATCGTGAAAAAACCAAAACACGAAGACCAAAATTGTAATTTAACCTTTTTTATATTAACAACTACTTCAAATAAAAAACTAAATAACTATTTATAAGACAAATATCATTTTAAACATTATTTTTCTCTTTATTAGTA